TTATCCATGTTTGTGTAACGAGGGATATATTATCCATGTTTGTGTATTGAGTGATATGTTATCCATGTTTGTGTAACGAGGGATATATTATCCATGTTTGTGTATTCAGTGATATGTTATCCATGTTTGTGTAACGAGGGATATATTATCCATGTTTGTGTATTCAGTGATATATTATCCATGTTTGTGTAACGAAGGATATATTATCCATGTTTGTGTAACCAAAGATATATTATCCATGTTTGTGTATTCAGTGATGTATCATACATGTTTGTGTATTCAGTGATATATTATCCATGTTTGTTATTCAGTGATGTATCATACATGTTTGTGTATTCAGTGATGTACCATACATGTTTGTGTATTCAGTGCTATATTATCCATGTTTGTGTATTCAGTGATGTATCATACATGTTTGTTATTCAATGATGTATCATGGTTCTAAGAACTATAGATAATATTTGTATAATTACTGCTGTTTCATGTATGTTTTTACATTCAGTGATGTATCATGTTTCTATGAATTATAGGTAATAATTTATGCATGTCTATATAACCAACTAGAGACATTAACCACCCTCCCAAAAACGTACATCACATATAATAGTTAAACGAACCGCCTAAACATCACGTTAGTATAGCCTCTATAATGTGTAAAGTTTGGTATAGTCTAATCCTTTATAGTGATGGCACACGAACAGACACACATTCGGTAAAGTAATGCTGTTTGAATACAAGAAGAGAAACAACGCCTCTGTAGCCATAAAGAATATCAAAGAAGTTTATGGAAATGTTTTGAACGTTCGTAAGTCTCAACGATGGTTCAGCAAATTTCTTTCAAGTGACTTTAGCCATAAAACTGTGATGGCAGGGGCTGACATGTTGGAATTGATATTGATGCTCTTAAGACTCTTGTTGAATCTAACCCAAGGCAACACACTCGTGAAATGACACTGAAATTGCATGTCTCTCATGAAACAATACGTAAACATCTAAGGAATATGGCAAAACTCCTTAAAGAAGGTGTTTGGGTGCCTCACGAGCTCTCCGATGATCATCGTTTCCAACATGTGAAGGTTGCTTCGTCTCTTCTAGCGCGTAATGCGCGTGAACCATTTTTGGACAGAATTGTCATCGGTGATTAACAATGGATTCTCTATGCGAATATTAAACGCCAAAAACAATGGCTCAGTCCCAGACAAAAACCACTTCCGACTCCATCAAAGGAGTAATTCATTTCGAACTCCTCAATCCGTAGCGAACTGTCAATGCAGAGATCTATAGTTAACAACTGGAACATTTAAATCAAGCCCTT